TGGCTGTCCTGCCGGCCACACCTCTCTCCCCCAGCTGCCATCTTCATCAAGTTTATTTCAGCTTTTCCGTGTGTGGTGCCGGCATCCAGAGCACAGTCCACACAGGCTGCCCCACACCCTACCCCTGAAAACAGAACTATCCCACCTAGAACTCAACAGTGCTCCAGCCGAGAAACCTGAGCTTTACCAGCTGACATCCTGGCTGGCTGTGGTGGCCTGCGCCCGCAGTCCCAGCACTGGAGCCCTGTGAGATAGGCCAGCCTGGACTAGATAGCAAGACTGTCTCAAAAAACCCAAAGAACAAAGCCAAAAACAAATCTGACCGAACAATATTAAACTATTCTCATTTATTTTACATTATTTGAAATAATTTGCTTCTCAAATAATGTTGACTGGGGACAGAGGAGATAGCTCAGCAGCATAAGTGCCTTCCTGGCAAGTGCAAGGTCCTAAGTTCGATCCTTGGTAAAAAATAAACAACAACAACAACAACAAAACAATGTTGACTGGTTACCGATTCTTACCACACTTAAGGTAAACGTGTTATTTATAAATCAAAGTGATATCTACTATTACACTCTCATCTTCCAGAAAAAAAGACAATCTACGCCACAGCAGCAAGCAGGGCACTTCTTTAATCACTACACTGGGTCAGGATTCAGCAGCTGCTCAAGGGACTCTGAGCAAATGCTTCTGGCAGACCCTAACTGACAACTTGGTTCTGAAGTTCCACTTAGGGACAGCTGGCCACCTGGCTACACCGAGCCCTGATCCTGGGATGCAAGGGTCCAGGAGTCCCTTGGTGCTCTCAGAACCCTGCCTACTTAGCACTGGTGTCCCTAGCTGCTCTCTGTAACTCTACATCCTTCATTTTCTCTATCTTGATACTCATTACTCTTCTCCTTCTTTTTTTTTGGGCACCAACAATCCAACTCAAGACCTTGTACTTACCAGGCAGGTAGCTGAGCCACTGAACTATATCCCAGGCCCTTTACCTTGATGTTCAATGCTGATATTAACATCTACGTTGTAAGAGTTACAATACTCTGTCATCAGATTGCAGAATGTCTGTGTGTATGAAAATTCTCTGTAAGCCAGGTACAGCAGCATATGCATGCCTGTCATGCCAGAGACTTGGGGACTGGCAGGCAGGAAAATTATAAATTTGAGGCCAGCCTGGGCAACTCAGTAAGAGCCTGTCTCAAAAATTAACAAAAAAAGAAAAAAAGAAAAATTAACAAAAAAGGTCTAGAAGTGCAGAGCACCTGTCTAGCATGTGTAGTACTCCTCCCACTAAACCGTTACAAGAATTTACTTAATGTTTATGGTAATGCCTTCATCCAAAAGATACTTTCCTTTTAAAGTAACATCTTGTAACTCTTCAGAGCTACCATGTGTATCAACATAAAATGAAAAAAGTGGTATCATACCTAATAAATATATTTTTTAAATAAAAAAATAGAATTTGTTTTAGAAAACATGCAAATTAAGTCTTTAAGACACTTCCTTCATTTAATAACGAGTGACTTTCAATCAAGGACAGCTATAATCTTGCAGAGAAAAAGACTGCTTCAAAAGGCAGGCTCTAAGGTGTTCGATAATAACAATAAGCTTGTCTTCTGGATGGTTAACAACCTAAGTTTGCAGACCAAAACTAGAGAAAAAGGAGGGCTACAAGGAAAGCCAACATTTGGGCCCTAGCCTTCCAAGGTCAATTAAAACTCAGGACATACGAGAACTTGTACTATAACGTCATGTAACTCGGTAGTGTCCCAAATTTTCTGATCAAGGAGATTATGGGGCCAAAGAAGAAAGTGATCGATGATGTGGAGTGTGCCTGGGGAGAGTCACATGGAGAGAAAACATTCTCTCAGGCTTTCACAGAGAGCACACTGGCCAAGCAATGGCCATGACTCATCCACATGGCTGACACTGACAAAGGATCTACAATCTGAGGTACAGGATCTCAGGATAAATTCTGAGGGGATTTCACTGACCTTATCAGACCCAAAAGCTACAACTCTTGTTGCATAGGTCCTGCTTTACCTTGGTCTTAACCATCCAGTAGAAAAGTATAAAAACGAAGTATAAGAAGTAAAGCCATGTTGTTATGTTGAGCTGTGGGGGACTGAGGTCAACAATTTCTGACATTGCCAGTTAAGTGGAAGACCCAATACTATTATGGGCTACTGGACTCTTTTAGAATATTTTGCTGAGTTTACACACCTATAATATTCAAATAACGGAACTTAACAAAAAAAGGGTATACAGATGAATGTCCTTTTTGTATCTGTGTATTCAGGGTGGTTAGGATAGATATATAGTTACATTCTGTTAATGAACAGAATGATTTGTTCTAATGGTGTTTGTAAATAGGATGTCGAGTCCTTATCTTGTACAGCAATTAACCACTAAGAAGAATGTATACAGTGTGTTAATTATTGAAACTGTCCTACCGATTTGATTTGAAACTGTCTCATTGCTATTTGTTTATCAATAAAATTATGGCAAAAAAAAAAAAGGGGGCAGGCTCACAGCTAGGGCCTTTCCTTACATAAAAAGGGGGAAAAGGTTGAATTTTGATTCAGACAGGTATTTTAAGGCTTTCCAAGGGAACGGGAAATCAGCTGTTCAGGAGAAACTGAATTAATAATCAGAACGGGGCAACCACAACTTTGTAGATTTTTGCTTGTCTGTTCTTAAGACAGGGTCTCACTATGTAGCTCAGGTTGGCCTTCAACTCATAGTTCCTGCCTCAGCCCGAAAGGCTCAGGTATGCGCCTGCAGGCCCAGGGTACCACGTTAGGAGAATAAAATAGAGAGCAAGGACTGCCTCTGATTATTTTAAGATGCTTGAAAAGGGTACATTAAGTAAATCGGTTATGCATTCTTTCCTGTTTATTTTGTCCTAATTAGTTTCTGGCGTGCACCTACACATTTTACGTTCTACGTGCTATGCTAGTACAACAATTTTCTAGAAACTTTCACACAACTGACTACTCAAAAAAAACCCCATAAAATGAGGGAAAAAATCATTTTTCTAAAGACTTAAACTTACTACAATTTTTAAAAATCACCTGATAAAAATTACTGATATTTAAAACTGAAATTAGAAGTAGCTTGTACTGTTTTGGAAATCCATAGTCCAGAGCTGGCTCAGCACGACATGGCTCACCGACACCACGCCTGGCTCCACGGCCTCAGGCTGGCCACACCAGCTGCTGGGTCTGAGGCTCCCCTTCACTGTGCAGGCAGTGCTCCTTGCTGAGGGCTGCCTGAGGAGCCAGTGCGTGAGGACCTGCCCTGTGTGCGTGGGCTCCTGCATCTACAGGTGCCCTTCTCAGGCTGACACAGACACTGGGGGAGGGCTCCTGCCACATTGCGCAGGGTCCTGGAATCCCCCCGCTGGGCTCCCCCTCCAGCTTCCCAGGACAGGGATTACAGCAGCAGCAAGTGCAGTCTATCCAAGCAGGTATTCCGGTTCAGTGTGGCCCTTTCCCTACCGCCTAACCCTAAGCTGCACACAATGGTTCTAGTTTATATCATTAGTCTTCCTCATGCGAGAACTATATATACACTGTGTCTGATTTTTATCTACCTCACAATGGGATATCTGGACTGAAAAAATATAGTAAAGATAAGTCATCAATTTATTCATCAGTGCACTGGATATATATGCTGAATGTCTATTAGGAAGGACCACATTAAATATTAAATACGTACGAGAGAAACGGGAAAGAGGTGACACAACAGAGCCTACTTAAGGAAAGGACGTTAAGAAATATAAATGTGGGCCAGGGATTTAGCTCAGCAGCACAGTAGGCACTGGGAAGCCCAAGGCCCTGAGTTTGATTCCTGATAACAAAAAGCAAAAGAAATATGACTGCCATGGGAGGGAAAGCGGATAAAAAAAAGATTTAAGACAGCTTTTTGTACATACTGTCAACTCTCCATGACACATGTAATCATGATGTACTGCAACATGTACTAAACCCACAGAATAGCTAGAAAAGAGGATAGTGTGCTCAGCTTTGGACACACTCATCTGTTACAGAGAGACACCCAGCAGGCAAATGAGGACTGAAATTCACTACTGAGGTAAGTCATGGAGACAAAGGTTTGGAACCGAAAAGCTGTTGTAGTAGGTGATATTTGAGTTTAATTTTAGGACCCGAAGAACCTAATTCAAAAAAGGATAACTCAATGAGCAGGACTGGGGGCAGAAGACACATGGGTGAAAGTGTGGGGTTTTGGATTGGGGGCTGGACAGACAGAAGCGTGCCAAGCGGGGAGGAAGGCACACAGCAAGCCTTCGGGACCCAGGCAGCGCCGACCCCTCACACCCTGACGGGATGTGAGCTTCATCCCAAGCGCTGCAGAACAACGCGGGGGCTAGGGACAGGCCCGGTGTGCTCGGCCTTCAGCTCTAGGAGATCATCTTAGCTAAGGAGGAAATGAGAGTGGGCGGAAGGGGCCGACAGGAGGCAGGCAGCTAGGCGGGAGGACTAGGCAGCAACGGTAACGAGATTCAGGTTAACCTAAGGCAGTGCTACTCGGGCTCAATCTTCCTAGACTTGGTAACTTAGGAGATATGGGAAGAAGAATCTCAAATAACCTCTAAGTTCCAGTCACTTAAAGAATTTGTCAGAAATCTGTGAAATAGAAAGGCATGAAAATGTAGTTTACTAAGAATTGGGAATTGGGCTATGACATGCAAAAGCCTTGTTAAAAAATACGAACTAACATAAGTGGTATTGGTAACAGCTGCTAAAATCCTTAGGCTCATTTACAAGTAGCTAAGATAAATACAATCATAAAAAAATAAAAAAACTGCTCTTCAACTGCTTAGCCTCAGTCTTGAGCCTGCTACTTCACTGCTATGAAATTACAGGCAAATAGTAACTGTTTAATCACCAGAAAGACATAGTGTTGGTTTAACTGCTAATGGTTTTACAGAAGTTTTCACGTGCATATTTTCCAAGCGGTCAATAGATACTCACCTGCTTTATTACTAAGCTTATATAAAAATGTCTGGCGAGGGTCTGAGTGATCTCGACACGTCAGCTGCAGAAGGGAGCCTGACTTTTTCCATTTCTGCATAAACCAGAGACCTAGAGATTATACGGAAGAGGTGAGCACAGATGGAAATACAGAGCAACATACGCAGCAAGTTTATTATTTCTGTATTTCACTTCAAAAATGACACCTCTCAAATTAACATTTTCTTGGCTGATACAAATTTGCAAAATATCTGCCACTTTTTGGGAACAAACCCAAACGTACATGCAGATGCGCTGGTTAACTAGGGCGCGGGGTGGCTGACAGAGAGCTCACCGCTTCTCTCACACTGAGGGAAGAGCAGCGTGTGCCTGACGAGCGGCTCCGGCCACGTGCACCTACAGGGGAGCTGTACTCGCCGAAGGCACAAGCGGCACACAGGCGCGTCGGACACCAGATGAGCCCCAAAGCCTGAGCTCCGGGGTGCAGGCTGCGGGCCATGCCCCTGCAGCTCTGTGGGCTAATACAGAAGACCGACTCTTCGGTTGGAAAATGGGCAGCAGGCAAGTATCATTTAAGTTTCATTTTTAACTGTACATCTTTGTATAATCAATAACATATAATTACACATCCTTCCCCTATAGAAATTAAATAAAATCTCAATCATTTTCGATTTTTTTTTTTTTTGCGGAACCGGGGATTGAACTCAGATCCTTGTGCTTGCCAGGGAAGCGCTTATTCCACTGGGCCATCTTCCCGGCCCCTTGAATTGTTTTTTTAAGATTGTGGAATATTCACACTCTTTGCTTCTACAATTAAGACAAAAGAGGAAAAAAGGGAAGTCTTTTTTTTCTAAATAATACAAAATGGTAAAAAGAAACATTAGAAATGATACAAAATTTCATTAAACTTCAACTGACTAAATCCCACAGTTGTAAGTGCACTTGAGAAAAAGCTCAGCGAAGAAATTCAAAGAACTGAGCACAGCCTGTCCATGGTGATGCTGTTTCAGTTCATGATTTCACTTTCATCAGGTTCTCTTTTTGTAACTACTAACAGAAAGGGCTGTGCTTTGAAATTACCAATTTGAAATGGGATACAACGGAAATAGATAAGGTATTCAATAAAAGAGGGAGAAAAGGAAATAGAAGTAAGAGCATAAAGAATTAAAGGAAGAGCCACGCGTGCTGGTGCACACCTGTAATCCCAGCACTCTGAGGCTGGGGCAGGATCAACCTGAGTTCTAGGCCAGCCTGGGCTACACAGGGAGTTCAAGGACAGGCCTCAACTACATAGGGAGACCCTGTCTGTCTGTCTGTCTGTCTGTCTGTCTGTCCGTCAGTCCGTCTGTCTGTCCGTGTGTGTGTTTGTGTGTCTGTGTGTATGTGTCTCTCTCTCACACACACACACACACACACACACACACACAAGAATTATCGAAAGAGACAAATTAATTTACTCACAATGGTAACCAATCAACGAACTTATAAACTATTAAAAATCTAAGAGAAAAACCAAACCAAGTCCCAGCCAAATCCAGTGCTAGACTTTTTTCTCAGTGAGACTATTTAAACTAACTAAAATTAATTTAACTTCTTCAGAGAGTCTCAATTTCTTCTATTTTCTTGCTCTTTAACTGCTAATCCAGCCAACATAAAAAGCTAACATTCTAGATAAAATGTTTTAGAACTTTATAGCATATTAAATATACCTATTATCTGTTTAAAAAACAGCATGGCAAACTATAAGATAAATAGGCACTGAAAGTATCTGCAGTCTCATGGAACAGGTAACCTGCTCTTGCGCAGTCTGAGTGGTACTGGGGACTCAGCCCAGCCTGGACGAGCTAGGCAAGAGCTCCAGTGCTGGGCTTCAGCCTCAGCACCCCCTACACCCTTGTCTTCTTTCTGAGGGACTAAGATTGATCCCAGAGCCTTTGGCCAGAGCTATATCCACTGCCTTTTAACATTTTTGGGTGGGCTCTTGCTAAATTGCCAAGGTTGGGCTTGAATTTGTGATCCTACTGTCTGAGACTCCTGGAGTGCTGGGATTATAGGCCCTTCCACTGTACCTTCTCCCGAGTCTTTTTTGTTTTATTTGTGAATCAGGGGTGTTAAAAAATCGCCCAGGTGGGCCTCTGACTTGTAATCCTCCTGCCTCAGCCTCCCAAGCAGCAGGGATTGATCTAAGCCCTGCATCACCTGCCCTTGAGATGTCTGACACTGCCTCCTCAGTAGGAGACTATTTCCTGAAATGAATTTTATCAGCATACTTCATGTACATAACAAAATACAAAATAACCTACATGTTTTGTTTCATGACACCCAATCATGTGGCAAACTGACTTTAAAATAAGCATCATTTATACTGGACTTAAACCTGTTTCTTGCCTATGTCGTATTTTTAACACAGAACAATAAAAGCTTTTACCTGTGTTAACAAGAGTACTGCTATTGTAGAGTGTACCCAGGTGAGGTCCAGAGAGAGACAGGAAGGTATGAAGTCTGTTGAGGTAATATTTAAACCTCGGCCTCGTAAGCACAGAACGGATTATTAAATTGCCCAATGAATGTCCAATGAAGCTTTAAGAGAAAAAAGATATTTCTCCCATAGTATTGCTTTTAAAAACAAAAAACTTGATACTTTACACAGACATAAACTATTAAGAATCTAAACTTTTCTAGTAGTTTTAAAATTGTAGTTTTATACTTTAAATAGTATAAGAACATTTTAAAGAACGAAATAGAAGATTTCCATTAATACTTTAAATGCTTATATTTACCACAAAATTTTTACACATTACTGTCTAACTGTGTAGATGTAAATACATTTTTAAAAATTATGAATTATAGATTTTCTTCCTAAAGCACAAAAATAAATTTATTGTTACCATTATTTCAGAAAAAATTATTTGTACTTAGAAATGAAACTGTACTAACAGGGCCCCCACTTGGGACCCCTCTGTCTCTGACAGAAGCTTTCCTTCTAGATTCTGCTCTTAAAACAAAATTGTACTCATAAAGGATGAGCTATCTTACACTCTGGTCCAGACTTCGAATCTGAAAAGGAGAAAAAATTTTGTAATTCGTACATAGCGTTGCACGTACTGATGTGGGACAACGACAATGACACAGTGAGTAACGATCACATCAGTAGTCAGCATGTCCGTCTCCTCAAACACCTACGAGCTCTCTGTGTGGGGAAGCTTTGAGCAGTCCAGACTGGTGAGCCTGCCAGGCCAGGGGAGACGCACCATCTCTCAGCCGCCTCCTGGGCCTCACGGACCCCCTCTGCTGGGACGCTGCCCTCGTGAAGGCACGGAGGGCACTGCGCTTCACAGCTTTCAAGTTCTTTCTTTTCTCTTTAAGTTAATTCAGGCTACACTTTCCTGTATTTCAGGTTAGGATAACACAACCATGAACTGTTTAGGTTCTCTGTAATTCACAGAAATATAAAAATAAATTGTGTAAATAAGTTACCTTATTTTTGAGACCGTTAGACTATATATCTGAATATACTGTATGATCTCATCCAAAAGGCGATCAGTCATGCTATCAAAATCTGCAAAAGTGTCATTCTAAATAAAATAAAAAGATGAATTTTGTGTTACAGCATGTTTAACTAGAGAGAAAGTAACTGAAAATAAATATTTAATTTAGTTACTGAAAATGTTTGTCCAATGTTTCTTAGCCAAGTCAATGAATGTGATATGCATCACACTGAAGTGAGCAGAAAGAGCACATTTCTAGGGAAAGTTCACTATTTCACACTGAAAAGCACAGTATATAGACCTGCTGCATTTAGTTGCACAGCCTGCTTTCAGTATTAAGCTTAATTAATGAAATAGTTACATAAAATGAAATTCTCAGTCCATATGTGAAGGTAACAAGGCAAAATGTAAATCATATATTTAATGTAAATATGCTCTGATGTTAAATTTCAGAGCTCAGAAAAATGATCTCTAATGCCACAAGCACTTTGCAGTTTGAGCAAGCATTTATGAAAAAGCTGGTACAAAAGTGGTTGCTTTCACTAAAATGCTGCAATATTGTACCTGATTTCTCTCCGACATAAGAAAATCAATTCTTCCTCCAGGCAGTCCAAGTTCAATGTAAGTTTTTACTAGTCGGAGATCTGCACTGTTACCTAGAAAATTTTTAAAAAATGAAGTTAGCTAGGGAGATAGTTCAGTGCTTAAGTGCCTGCCTGCAAGCACAAGGTCCTGAATACGATCCCCAGTACCAAAAACAAACAAACAAACAAACAAACAAAGAAACAAACACCACCAAACCAAAATCGATGTTAAAGAATGAAATAAAGTACTATGAAAGGAACGAAGTGCACCACCATGCATCATTACAACTTTTAGAGAAAAATCTATGGTCTATGCTCCATGTCATTTTTGATCAGATAATGTACTCTGAAAAACAGAATTCTCAATTTTTATGCCAAAACTGAATTCTACAACCACAGAGCGTCTTTTAACAGTTTCTCTTAAGATGCTTCAGTCACGATGATGGCTCCGCTTTTCCACGTGAGCGTGTATTACTTTACAAACTGTGAGCACATCACTTTGGTGGAACTGACTCTTACTGTCCTCACTACTGCAAGTGGCCACATTTGTAGGCATTTTTTGAGACAGGGTCGGTCTTTCTATGTAGCTCAAGCTGGTGTTGAACTCACTCTGAGGTTCAGGCTGGCCTTGAGCTTGTGTCAATCCTCCTGCCTCAGCCTCCTGACTGCTGGGATAACAGGCATGCACTACCAACCCCAGCTCAAAGGTGGTCACTGAACCAACCTGGAGAGCGTTTTGGGTTTACTGTGTTGACTTTCCTTTGATGGTAATGGTACAGACTGAAGAAATACAAACATATTTAAATACCTGAAACAGCTCAATATTTATTAACTCAAAAGATGTCTATACATGTTAATAATAAAGATATATGAATATAAATATTGTCTTTAAAAATTAGTGTATTAGCTGGGCATGGTGGCATATGCTCATAATCTCAGTACTTCATTCCTGTAATCTCAGCACTAGGAAGGCTGAGTTCCAGACCAGCCTGGGCTACAAACTGAGCTCAAGGGCACCTTTAACTGCATTTCGAGACACTACCTCAAAAAGACAAAAAAGGGGCCATCTAGATAGTTCAGTGGATTAAAATGCCTGGTTAGGCAGACCCAGGGACTGGGTCTGATCCCCAGTGTGCCATGCCAGACCTGCCCCTGGGGCACGCTGAGACTGGGTGTGGTGGTGCTCGACTATAATCCCAAATGCTTGGGAGGCTGAAAACAAGAGAATCACAAGTCCAATCTGTGCAGTGAGGCTCTGTAGACCCTGTACTAAATACATTAAAAAAGAAAAAAGACAAAAAAGTTTGTTTTTCATCCACTAGTAATATAAATGTCATTATCAAAGATAACTGTTTCTACTCTGATATTAAAAGGCAGACCTCTAGTATTTCACTATTAATTTTTATGTGACCCGAAAATACAGATGTTTAAACACAACAGTGAGCCAGAGGACTGGCGAGATAGCTTAGCAGACTAAGCACCTGCTTAGGCAAGTGCAGGGACCAGGGTTCGATCCCTAGCACTACATGCCGTGCTGGCCTCGCCCCCAGGCTGGGTGTGGTGGTGCACACCTGTAATCCCAGCACTGCGGAGGCTGAAAACAGGAGGATCACTATGAATGCAGCTATGTAGCGAGACCTTGTATCAAGTACATTAAAAACCCCAAGCCCAGGAAGCCCAGTTAGCTGGTACAGAAACACAGTAAAACTCTGTTAGTCTAGAAATGTTTCACTTCTTCTAAGTTTCTAATCATAACAACACAACATAAAACAAAACTGCTAAATAATCAATAGCTGTCAAAAAGCCATGGAATGAAAGCCAGTAATTCAGAGTTTAATGGATACCTTCACAAACAACTTTAACGTCTCAGAATATTGATTTTTATAATTCATAAGGCTTAAGCAGCTAGCTGCTATAACCAGGAAGACTTAAGAGGACATGATTACTGTGAGGTGATGATTGGTAACAGTAAGAAAGAAAACTAAATGAAATAAAATGTTGGCATGTGTGTGTCAGTTAAAAAGAAAATCTAACTTATGCATATTTCAGCTTTGCAACAGCTTTAATATTAAGTTATGTAGTTAAAGTATTTTTAGTTCAAAAGCTGAAGAAAACTAAGTGAGCTCTACTAGGAGCAGCAAATACACCGAGTGGCCGTGGCCACGTCGACGGGCACCACCCACCATCCAGCCCGTGCACACAGACAACGAGGTGCACGCCGTCTCCAGGGGCATCCTCCTCTTCCACGCTGAAGTAGGGCACCGAGGACGCCAGCACAGGAAGGTCACTGTACATAAACCCGGGCAGCCTGAGCTGCTTCAGTTCTTCTTTTGCCTGAAGAAAGCTAAAGTAAAACATTATAAAGATACTCTTTACGAAGGATTGTACTCAACATTACAACCAAAGACACCTCTTGAATTTATAAAAAAGTAAAGGAAGAAACATAATGGTATTTGGTTTGGAAATCAGGAGAATAAGTATGTGGATGTCTCCAAAATGACATAAGGTCAGAGGGTCATTTTCTTTGCTATTATTTACTATACATGCTAGTAAAATATGATAAAAGTACTGAGCCTGAAATCATTTAAAATACTCATTTAAACTCGAAATCAAATCATAAAATATTAGGATGATGTTTTTTGTAATACTCAATATTGCATGTAGACAAAATCTGGGAGAGGTACATAAAAAAGATAAATCTTAAATTTATCATGTAATCAGATTTTGTAACCAAAAGTGAGAATGGTAGTTACTTATTAGTTTAGGGTATTACTTTTCTCTAAAATTGCCAATAAGAAGGAGCAGAACCAAAACAAACACTGGACTAAGTTTAATTGGTAACATACTCATTTGAAATGACTCACAAATCGAATCAATTTCAGGACTCCAAAGATCAAAATGATTAACTATTAACACTATAATTTGGACTGATAAAAAGCACAACTTAAAGGTGCTAAAGAACAGTAAAGTGTGTCTGACGCAAGGTCCACAGGGCGAATGCGTGGCTCGTGGGGACCGCAAGCTGTCTGTCACGAAAGTGCGGGCAGGCTTGCCATGACTAGGTGGAGACATAAACCTTTGCTTTCTGACATTCAGTGTAAGGTGCTAGGCAGGCAGCACACTCCTTAGTCTGAGACCCTGTCTCAAAAAGACATTAAAAAAAGTAAAACAAAAAAAAAAGCTTTGGTCTGTTGCTGTTAGGTACTGTTTGCTCACTGATTTCTAGCTTTAGGGTCTGGATATCCTTATGTATAAATCAGAATAATCTATAAATTGAAAACATCTACTGTGCACAGGCCTTACCTTCATTCACCGCAGAAATTAGGCCTGTCTTGGATAAAGCAGTAGAATATTGAGAACCAGTGTGCGCCAACAAATCTATTCCGTCTCCTGATTTTCTGGGATATTTTACTGGCCTATGAAGTCTCAATTCTTGAAACCACAAGCTTCGCTGAAGCAATACAGGCCTCGTAGGTTAAACTGATTTCTTCTAACTTGTTATTTATCTATTATTGTCCTTATTTCTTAAATATACTCATGAAACCTAGCTTTTTTTCCCTGGGGTTTAATGGAGGAGAAATGAAATACTGATATAAAAAGGGGTTTAACTTTATTGTGCCATAGTTATATAATTACCAATGGGACAATCATAGCAGGCATACTCGGTCTGCGGAATGGGATAATCACATGCACTTGAACTGAGCCCAAAGACTGAGAAGCGACTGGGACAATCACGTGGAAACTACAGGTGTGTGTCCAAGGCAGAACGTGCACCTTTTAGATTATCAGAGGAGCACAGTTTGCACTACAGAACTAGAGAACAGACGGTCAGCCACTGCTCCTGATGCCCCACATACAGTCAGTAGCACACACGACTGAGCTTCGTTACTTACGCTTGTACTTGAGGTTTCGGCGAATTCTCATACCAGGAAGTCAAGGAAGTGAAGATGTGAGAAGCGCTGCTTGGTTGCTTTGTAATTGCATCAACTTTACTTTTGGAAGAATACTTCATATAAGGAGGCTCTCGCGGTGCAGACGGGAAAGACAGACACCCAGAAGCACACACAGTAGGCATATTGAGGCCATCTTGCAAGTAGTCACTCTTCAACTTCTCTGACTTGGTGAGCCCGGCTTCTGCCAGTGGGTCTCTGCTGGTGTAGGGAGTGCTTCCTGTCCCGCCCAAGGCCGGGCAATCTGTTTCTTCATAATACCCATTCTGAACCATTTGTTGATCCTGTTCTTCCTCCTCATCCTCATCTTCCTGCTCCTTTTGAAGATTACTAATTCCTCTTTCACCAGGTTCCTTCTGAGGGCTAACTGACTTGTCAGAGCTAACATCGCATGCACTAGAGATATCGGTCAGGCTCTGAGCTCCAAAGTAGTTTTCCACAAGCCCCTGTTCTACCACATCAGTACTGGCTGAAAAAGGGTCACTTGTATCCACGTGAGTTTCACTGTCAACCTCGGGGGCTTCTGAATATACCTCTTTGAGAAGTAATGGGTCACTGCTTTTTCTTTCCACAGTTCTAGCTTCACTGACTTCAGCGTTAGTAGAAACAGAACCTGAAACAACACAAGGAGTGCCTAAACAAATCAGTTTTGGGTTTAACACTGCTATGCTTGCAGACTTAGGAGATTTATCAGGACTCTGGGAGCCTTTACAAGTAGGGTCCAAGTTAGGCTTGGAGTAGCAACTACTTTCCACATCACTGGAAGTGCCTTTATCTGAAAACACAAGTTGTAAAGGGTCTTTAGTGCTTGAACTGAAGGAATGTATTGCTGAAGTTTCGCTGTCTAAATGCTCTGAAAATACAACACTCTGCTGTTGCAAAATGATGCTTGATTTCTTAGTCTCATCACATTTTGGCAAATCAACTATTCCTAGATTTAATACAGTGCTGCTATCGCTTGGCTGGCATTCAGGTACCACAGACTTCTTAGAACCGTCCACAGGTGACAGCTCATCATCAGAAGGGAGAGAGTTTATCGATGTCAAAGACGACTGTATTTCACTTAAAGCACTGGTACTCTCTGTGCAATGGCTTCCCAGTGAAAATTTTACATTACAATCAGGCTTCATGAAAAAATGAGGAAGTAATCTCTCATTACTGAAAGGACTCTGTCCTTGTGTGGCTTCCAAGACTATATCAAGGTTTGGATGTGCTGCAGAAGAACTTGGTTCACTTTCCACACCTGAATCCGAAAATCTGGACGAGGCAGACGTGACACCCGTATCTGGTAACTTAATTGCATCTCCACTTACTACAACGTGATATTCTTTTGTAGAAGGGGCAGATAGATTACTTCTTAATTTTGCTAGTGATTCTCCAATGAAATGACACTTTCCTTCATGCAAAGCCTCCTTTTCCAGTGCTGCTTCTGTAGACTTAGATTTGCCATTGGAGTGCAAGCACTCAGGGCTGGGCAGGAGGCTGTCCACTGCCGCTGCATCGTGGCTGAGCTCAGCCCACGGCCCCATTGGAACAGTTACTTCCGCTCCACTGAGAGGACTGTCACCACTGGGCTTGCCTTCACTGGCTCGAGCTGCCGAAGATGGGGCTGCCTGACGGTCAAGGCAATCGTCTGACGGACTTCTGGGTGCCAGACTGTGATCCTGGTGTGCACTGTCACTACCATCCAGGGAGATACCAACTTTACCTGAAATGGACAAATTTGCACAAAGATTTAGGCTGCCAGAGTTCAAAGGATCAAACTGGTCTGGCTGTGCTTTTTCAGTACCTGGAGGCTTTTGTTCAGTTCTCTCTGTGTTAGCTGGCAAATAGCTAGCTTCCTCGGGACTTGGCTGTCTGATGGAGGTCTCTGGGTCACGGTTATATCCACATATGGTGGGATCCAGACCTTCCTTCTGACTACGCAAAGAACTGCCTTCAGGGCACCTAGTGAGGTCACGTGATGCTGTACTTTTCAAACACTTGTAGCCTACTAAGACCACAGAATCCTTAGAGTTCTGCTTTATTAATTTTTTTGGGTTTTCTGGTTTCATTGTTTTCATGAGCTTAGCAACCTTAACCTTGGATTTATTGGATTCTTCATTCTTTCCTTTTAGAGGCTTTGTTAGCTGCTTTTCACCTTCTGTGTACCAAACACTGGAGGCACCAGCAGGTCTGACCTTCAACTCTGGGCTAGAAAGTCCTGCTACAGAGCTCTCTTCAGGCTCAGATTTATCCATTCTACTGGACTCTGACTTCTGGAGACTCTGAATTCCCGTCCAGGGTGCATCTACGTCTTTCATCCAAAGAAAAAAAGATTCAGGTTTAAAACAAGCATAAGAACTCACATCATTAAGATTACTCTTCTAAT